ACCATGCGGCGTCTCTGGGCCACACTGGAAGAAGAGTTGTCTTGGACTGCACATTAAATACACTATGACACATAATTACAAAAAAATCTCATCACGCTTTAAGTAAATTTACAATTTTGTGCTGGGACACATTCACAGCCGTCCTGCACTGCATGCGGCCCACGGGCTGCAGGTTGGACACCCCTGTGACCTTGGCATTAAGTGAGGCCCAGAGAACCTCGTTTATGTACCACAACAATCTACCGGTTGGTGCTTTTATTGTCCTCATTTCTACAGGTGAAAAGGCCAAGACCCAGGGAAGTTAACCTACACCGTACACAGCACCGGACTGACAGAGAGTGAAGAAGATTGCAGTTGGTGTTTGAACTCAGGTCTGCCAGGAAGCAGAACCCAAATATTTCCATGTGCCATCCATACAAAGGGACCTGAGCCGGAGCACCACCAGGGTGTAGAGGTCAGGAGGGCCACCCGGCTGGGAACCTTAGAGCTGTAGGTGGCCATCTGTGCCTCTTCATTGTGCCAGAGAGGGGGCATGGGGAAACTGCCCGAAGTGGGGGACTCGCTCCCCAAGATCACACAAGGAAATAGTGGTGGTCCCAGGACCAAAGCCCATCTGGAGGGGATTTTGTCTTTTCTGCTTAAGCTAGAGGGGTTTTTTCCTGGAAGAGGGGGTCCTCTCTGGCCTTGGGTCTCTCCCTGGAGTCCCCCCAACCAAGGATGTGGCATCTATGGGCTCACAGGAAGACAGGAACAAGTAAGGGGCTTCAAGGCCTGCAAAGGGCTGAGCCGAAAGAGAATGGAAAGGCGCACGGACTAGGATGAGTGACCGTTTAGACCGGAAAGAGCAGACTTGGGGAGGCGCTAGGTAATCCCCATCCTTATCTCACTGAAGGGCCACTGTGGGGGGCAGGAGGCCCGGGGGGCGTGCATCTCGGCTCAGGCAGCTGGATCCAAGTAAGGGAGAACTTTGGACACCCATCTGAGCTGCCCGGAGATGGAATGGGCTACTTTTAAGCAAGCAAGGGCTGGTCAAGGAGCAGCTGAGAGGTTGTGATGGCCTCAGCCAGGAAGAGTGGCTTTCAAGAAGTCTATGAAGTGGCTGAAAATAAAGGTGTGATTTCTCAGGAGGCCCCAAAGGCTTCTTCCAATACAAGGGGTCATGAACCAAAGGAGGGATTCCTTGCTGAGTGGGAGGCCATAGGAAGGTACTTCAAAGGGCTCTTCCATTTCCAAAGATTCTAGGAGGCCCAGATTCTCTGATTTTAAGATTTTACAAAGCCAGGAGTCTAAGATTCAGTGGTTCTGCATGTCAATCACTGACACTTTATCAAAAGTTTTACTCTGCCTACAAGAATCTGATCAATCTGGCCCCTCCCTTCTCTGTAAACTCCCTCCGCCCCACCATGTCCCTGCTACAGAACAAACTAAGCTAGTTCCTGCCTCAGGGCCTTTGCACCTGCTGCTCCCTCTGTCAGGCTGCCCCTTTGCCCCTGCTAACTCTTCCTACTGCCAGCTAGTTTCATTCTTCTGCTTTCGGTTCAAATGCTACCTCCTTAAAAAGGCCCTTATGATACCCTCTGTCATCCTCCATCCCTCAGCTTAGGGTAATGTGCAGACAGGAGCCTGGTCGCTTAGGTTCAAATCTCAGCCTTGCCGAGAGACCTTGAAGGGGTTACTTAACCCCTCTCTGCCTTAGTTTCCTCAGCCCCAAACCAGGGATAATAACAGTACCTGCCTCATGGGATGGTTGTGAGGATTAAAGTCATCAATATAGGAAAGAGTTTTGGAATATAGCCTGGCATGTAGTAAGCTCTAGGTAAGGATCAGCTCTTCTTATTGTGCACCCTCGCTCTAAAATTCAGCACAATTACCCTGGCTGGTGTGGCTCAGGGGATTGAGCACGGGCCTGGGAACCCAAAGGTCGCCAGTTTGATTCCCAGTCAGGGCCCATGGCTGGGTTGTGGGCCCAGTTGGGGATGTGCAAGAGGCAAAGGATTGATGTATCATTCACACATCAATGTTTCTCTCCCTCCCTTCCCCTCTCTCTCAAAATAAAATAAATAAAATATTTTAAAATTCAGCACAACCATCATAGTTATTCTTTGACTACTTACAGACCACCCTCCGCACGCCCTGTTTTATAGGTGAGGGAACTAAGGCTCAAAGAGGTGAAGGCCTAGCCAAACCACGCTCTCTGAAGATGGGGGCTGTGCCTGCTTTGTTTTCCACGGGATCTACAGTCCCCAGGACAGTGCCTGGTGTACCGCAGGTACTCAGCAATGACTTGTTGCTGAATGAATGCATGATGAATTAATGGCCGTGACTCAGTCGCTCTGAGGCACTATGCAGGCACCTCCGGACTTAAGATTCTATTTCAGCCCACCTCTGCCACCCTAGTCCCAAACGACTCCCAGCTCAAGGTCCCAGACTCTCAGACTAAGTGGCTGCCGGAACAGGCCGGCTAGTGGAGTAGGGACCAGAATCCGTGCCTCTGTCCCCCTGGGGTCCCCTTACTCTAGCAAGGCCGGGGCGGTGTGGCAGGAGCTGCCTTGGCATTCGCCTTGGGGGATCCCTGCCCAGAGGTGCGGCGGCAGGTGTGGGCTCAGGAAGCAGCTGCTGGCTTCCTCGTCCTGTGCTCAGCCAGCTTCCCTCCAGGGGCCTGCCCAGCAGATGCATAATAGATGAGGAGGCCCAGCGGGCTGTGCCTGCCTGGCATTTCAGAGCCACTAATGAGGCCAGCCTTGTGCTTCCTGCAGCGGCACACAGACCCCCAAGGCCTCCAGCTCAGTGATTACAGGGAAAAGCCACCTGAGGACAGGAGCTGCCCACCCAAGCCCCCCACTCATCACAGGTAGCATCCAACTCAATGAAAGATCCGGTTCAACGAAAACTTCTGAGCGTCGAGCGGGGCTCAGAGAAGGGAAGTGACCTGCCCACGGTCACACCACTAGGACGTGGCAGAGGCAGATTCAAACCCTTGTCTGCAGGCCTCCGAAGGCCATGCTGTCCCCACCACCCCAGGCGAGAGCACGCATGTGCGGCCTGCAGGTGTGACGGGCAGCGGGGATGGTGTGCTAGGGAGACGAAGATGGGGTGGGGGGTCAGGGAAGCAAACACTCGACAGTGACGAGAGTGGGCTGGAGGTGGGGCGGAGACTTGTGGGAATGAATGGGAGGGCCTACGGGGGGGGCAGCGTGAGCAAAAGCAGCCGGTGGCACTTACTGGGGCTGTTCCTGCTGATCGGAGATGTAGGGCAAGAGCGGAGTGCGTCCCGGCTGGAAAGGGAGGTGGGGACAGGCCTTGAATGCCAGGAAATCATAAATAGTCAAAAAGTCAGCACTTTACACTAATTATATGCCAGGCACGGGCCGGGGGCTAAGTAATCGGCTTCCAGAAGTGGGGGCGGTGGGGGTGGCCTAGGGGTTGGCACCTTGGACAGCAGCTCCAGTAAGGAGGGCGTGGGGCTCGGCTTTCTAGGTAATGGGCAGTCCTGGCGATTCCAGAATCTTGCTCTACAGGCGCCACCTGAGGCCCCAGCGGAGAGGGGACCCGCCCAACATCACAGGGCAGGTTACTTCTGTCGGGCCTGGCCCTCCCCTGTGACCCTTCGTGAGGGCTCCCTAGGGTGGGCTTTGTGGGTCACCCTTCCGTCTTCAAGTTCCCCTCAAGTGCATCCTTCACTAAGACCCCCCCCCCCAGCCCCACTGTGGCCTGGAAGCCCTGGGACAGAGTGGGTGAGACTCGGGACTCTGCAGACTCTGGGAGACCAAGATTTCAGTCCCAGCTCTGCCAGTGACGAGCTGTGTGAACTTGGGGAAGTCACTTCCCCACCCGTTGTTTTCATCTGTAATTAGAGATAAGGGTCCCTAAGTCGGGAAAGATTATGTCGGATGATGCAGTTCAAGCACCTAACAGTACCCGGTGCACAGCAGGTGGCTGACACGCAGGTTGTTGGGATACTGTTTCTGAGCTCCCTGGAGGAGGAGACGGCATCTTCCTCACCTCCATCTCTCTCTCTCCTCACCCTGCCTCTGCCCTGGGCCGACTCTCACACGGAGTAGAGGCTCAAACTGACTGGGCAGCACAGAAGGACAAATGCCCAGGGAGGGGAGTAAGCGGCCCCAGGCTACACAGACAGCATCAAAGGAAAATGGACGAGCAGACCCTGGAGCTCAGCCTGGGTGCCTCCCGCCCGGATGGGAGTCATCCAGCAGCTGCAAGGCACTGCAGGACCTGGGGACGGGTCCTCAGCAGGGGCAGGAACCAGGAGCCAGAGCCCTTGGGGGCTCTCCTGCTGGAGCTGAAGTGGCAGCAGGAGCAGCCAGCTGGGCCCGTGTGATGCTGGTACCAGGGAAGCTGGGAGGCGCCCACCTGCTGGGGCCCCAGGGGGCGCTGCGCACCCCGAGGTGAGACTGCACCTCCACCCACTGCTCTGCGTGTTGGGGAAGCTGCAGAAACAGCCGCCGCCTTCCCTCCTCCTCTGAACACAGGGCAGCCTCCCTGGAAGGAAATGGGCTAGAGGAAAGGCTTCTGAAGGCGAGGAGGCCAAGGGCACACTGAGCCCAGCTGGGAGCCACCGTGACGCGAGGAAGAAAAGAGAGAAGGGAAGGACGCACTTTCAGTGAGGGCCTATAATATGCCAGGCCCTGTTCTGTTCTGTTCTGTTTTTACAACTTACGCTCTGCTAAACAGGCAGTTTAATCTCCAGGTCACAGGTGCGCATGCTGAGTTTCAGAGAGGTTGGTGAAGTACTGAAGGTCACACAGGCAGTGGCAGAGCTGACATTTAACCTGATATGCCTGACTCCAAGGAGGGGCTCTGGCAGGATCTGTGGGGGGGAGAATCCCTGGGGGCAGAGCTGGGGAGAAGTCTGCCCACCCACCCCATCACCTACGGAGGATGGCTGGCGGGTGTGTGGGGTCTGGTCAGGCATTAAAGGGGGAGGTATCGGTCCCAGAGTGTCCCCAGGGTATAGCTGCACAGCCCAGCCCAGTACTTACCACACACTCCGGTGAGGGGTGAGGGACTTATCCACCCTGAAACATAGCAAGGGGAGCAACAGGTGAGGGGGTGGCCCCTCCTTACCCAGCCTTGCCCAGCATATTGCCAACCCGCCCTGCGCACAGGAGCCTGGAGGGAGTGCTGGATGCACTGGCCCCATCCCCCCATCTCCCCCCCCGCAGGCAGGAGCCCTAAGGTCAGATAAGGGGCATGGGAAGGTGTGCGGAAAAGGAGTAAGGAAAAGAGGCAGGGCTGGGGACATGGCGGCCAGAGGGTGGCAGTAAGAAGCAGTGGCCCAGGACAGGCTATGGGGCGGCAGAGGAGTGGGGGTCAGTGGGCAAGGTCCCGCAGCAGGTGGAGTGGGACAGTGACCACAGCAGCTGGGGTCAGAGCGAGGATGTGGGATGTGGTCAGGCCAGCCTGCAGTGTGTCTGAACAGGACTAAAGGGTGTGGGTGTTTAGGAAGAACTGCTGCCCCCCCCCCCGTGGCCCCCCCCCCCCCCCACACACACACTTCGCCAGCAGCCTGCCTTGTTTTGGGAGCTGGTGTTCACTCGTAGCTCCCAGCAAATCTGGGGAGCAGGAGGTCCACCTGAGCTCCCTCCCCCACCACACTCCCAACGCACACACGCCCTGCCCCGAAGCAGAAACAGAGAAAGTCCTCAAGCCCCCAGAGTTCAGGGCCACCGTGGCTTTATCTGCCCAAATCCCTCCAGGTCCCGCTTCAGAGAGTGTGGGTGGGCGCTGCCCCCTCTCAGGTGCTCCCCCATCCACCTCTGAGGGCGCCTTGGGGCTGGGAGGCCTGGAGAGGGCCCCACCCTCCCGCCCAGCTGGGGCCAAGGGGCTCAGCTACTGTTTGGACAACAAACAACTCTTGCCTCCTGCCCAGGGCCCAGAGGAGAGTGGCAAAGGGGCCCCAAACCAGACTCGGCCAGCTAGGGGGCACCGTCTCAGGGGACGGGGCCGGGTCTCTCAGGGATCGGCCGATGTGGATGGACTCTGCAGACGGCTCAAGGAGGCCAGAGAAGCCGGGACTTGCCCAAGGTCACCCAACAGAGCCCAGCCTGACTCCCTGGACGGCGTGCTGGCATCAGCTGACCAGCCGTCTCAGGACTCCTCTCTTCACCTCATGGCTCCGCAGGGCGCCAGACGGGGGAGGCAGCCCACCCAGCCCCTCTGCCAGGACCCCCTGAAGGCCGGGTATCCACAGAGGGGAGGCACCTCAGACACCGCCCCACAGCTCAAAGAGCACCTAGCCTGCATCAGCAGTGTTACCTGTGTGAGCCCCAACTGCTCTACACCCTAAAGGTGGGTCTCCCTCTAACTGCAGGGAGGCAGAGCCTGGTGAAGGTTACGCAGCTACTTGTCCAGCCAGAGAAGGGGCTCTGGCCCGTCTGTCCACTCAGTCTTCCTCTCCGTTTACCAAGTCTCTGCCCAAGGCAAGCACCCCCCAGCACACCTCTACGCCCCTTTGAGGAGGCACTTGGGGTCAAGAAGGATAGTGACCTCGACATGGACCAGCCACCACTCCGACTACCACCCCCCCACCTGCCCTGGGTCTCCAGGCCCAGGCAGCCAATAGCCTTGGCAGGCGGGGGTCCCTAGAGATGGGGGCAGCGCAGGGGCAGGGTACCGCTAATGGCTTCTAGGTTCCCTTGGTCCAAAGCCTCAGTCCAGGGGCCCAGCGTATTCAGAGACCTAGCGAAGTCCCCAGCAGGGCCTCCCTGACCTGCCTGGGCCCACCCCACCATGCATGCACCCAGAAGCGCATACCCAGGCCCAGCTTCCGGTCCACAGACCTGTCACATGCATAAGCACGGTCCCGCACATGGGACACAAACACAGAAACGTTCATGACCCCACATGTGCACATGGGTCACCCAACCACAACACACAGGAACACACACACACCACCCTGCATGCTACACACAGACCTCAAATGGCCCGCTTCACACACAAGCACAAACTCACAAACTAGGAAAGAACCATCCAAACCCAAGCCGGAGCACGGCGGCCCTGCGCACACAAGTGCACACGCTCTCGCGTCAAGTGCACAAGTGCCTACTGCGTACCCCGCGAACGCACGCGGGCGCCCCGTCCCACGCACCTACCCTCCGTAGGCCCCAAAGGTGAAGCTGCGCTTCCGGCAGCTCATGGTGCCGTCGCCGCCGCCTGGCTGCCCATCTGGCCGCGCGGAGCTGGAGCCGCCTTCCCCGCACCCGCCCGGGTCACCTTGGCAACTCGGGCCACCCCTCCCCCAGCCACAGGCCCCGGGATTGTCCGCCCCCCACGGGCAGCGGTCCAGCTGCCGGGGGCAGCCGCGTGCAGAAAGGGCTGCTTGTTCGCGCCGCCCTCGGACCGGGGCGGGGGCTTCGCTGGACTTTCCCAGCTGGGACCTCGGGGGCAGCGGCAGGCGTGGCCTCAGCAGCGACGGCAAAAAGGAGTTAAGGGCCGTAGGATGAGACAAACCTTCCATCCCAGACCAGAGACCGCACTCGGCTGTGCGGACCCTCTTCTGGGGGCGGCACCCTCTCTCATCTCCCGCCCCCAGCTGTTAGCGGACCTGTCCAGGTCATCACGAGTGGAAAGCTCATAGCAAACAGGTCAGGCCAAGAACTTGGAATCCAGGGTCAAATGGACTGCAACGTGGTCAGGTCCGTGCCCTCCTTGTGAGTACCTCGAATTTCTCATCTGTGAAATGGAACTAACCCCCACCCCGCCCTGTGCTAATGGAATGAGTTACTACACGTAGAGTGCTCAGCCCAGGCTTGACACACAGTAAATGCTCAGTAAATACCAGCTATATGCGTCCCAGACTAGGGTAGAAGCTCTGCTCAGGCAAATAAGTAAAAGAAGGAACCGAGTCTCCCACAGCCCCTTGAGTGCTCTCACCCCCCTTTCCCTGGGGGAGGAGGAGGAGGTGCAAAGAGGCACGAATGGAGATGCTTTATCCTCTTCTCGAACATTCGTCTGCTCTGGTTTCCCTCACTCAGCAGCACCGGGCTGAGTCCTATCATCTATCATACATTCACTCAACAAATACTCTGAGCCCCCCCCCCTGCACCCAACTCACCCCGAACTCACAGTCCAGTCCACCACACAGGAAGCTGCCCCTCCTGACCCAAGCAGAAATGTGTCAGGAGACACAGGACACTGGCGTGCCCCTGGGACTCTCCCACCCCTTCCAGAATGCCTACTCTGCCCCTCCAAGAGGGAGCGATTATTCTTCACTCCCGGCCCCGAACCCAGGGAAGTCCCCAGAGCCTTGAGGCTTCCTATGGAGTTTTCTGTTTAAAAGGACCTCAGGTGACAGATGCACTGGGGTGGGGGCGGGCAAGGAAGGAAGGACAACCAAGGACACGATGATGGGGTGACAGAACCCTTTCAGGAACTATTCCTCCTGAGCCCTGGGCCAGGTAGTGCCATCTTCCCCTGGGAAATGGCCAGTCTGGGTTAGAGAACCCTGCAGTTTGACTCACTCAGACGAGGGAGGTGGGACAGCAGTCTCCCCATGTCAGACAAAGACCCGGATCACCCAGCAATCACTTCTCTCTTGGGAGGTCCACCCCCAGGCCCCTCGCAGCTCCCAGTCTGGACCCCTTCTCTTTCCACACTCTGGTGGGTGGAGGAGCCCTCAAGGACCCCTTGCAGCGTTGACTCCAGCAGGGCAGGCGCGATTTCCTGCCCCTTAGAACTGTCCCAGGAGTTGGTTCTCCGAGAAGGTCTGGCTCCCTCTTAGCAGGCTGCTCTGGGGCCAGGGTGGAGGGACCCTGGGTGGAGGGGCCACGCCTGGGCGGTGCAGGAAGCCCACTCCGCACAGGGCAGTTCATTGGGCTCCGAGGGGCACTGAGGAGGGGGGAAGTCTCCTCTTCCTGATTGGTGGGGGTGGCAGAGAGCAGACAGGAGGGGAGGACAAGAGCTAGGCCTCGGCCGCTCGGGGCTGTGTGCAGTTCCAGGGCTGGGACCCAGGACCCCTGCCATACTCAGGCTGCAGCACCCCCTGGGACACGGCCCTCTGTCTGGCCAGTCTGCCTGTTCAGTAGGAATGACTCCTAAGCGGGCTCTGCATGTCCACTTGGCAGGGTGGCCAAGGGGCCTCCAATGTGCCAAGTTTCCCAGCCAGGCCTAACCCCCGGGAAGTCCTGCTGGTATGGGGACAGTGGGCCCTTGAGAAGGGCTGTGGGGGCCACAAGTTTCCCACCAAAGACAAAGAACCCAGTGTGGGCTCCCGCCTCTTGATTTCTGACCAGCTGCAGCTGCCTCACTGGCAAGAGCTGGGGGTGGGGTGGGGGTCACGTTCCCTTAGCCAGGAATGCACAGGACATTCCCTGGCCAGCTCATAGCCCCTCAGGCAATAGCATAATGGAAATGCACCTTATTAACCTGCAAGGCCACTTCCAAGAATGTAACCTTTGTATCACAGCGTGCGAGCCTGAAGATGCCAAGGACAAGGGACATGGAGGCATGAGCTCCCTCTTCCTTTCCCTCCAGCCTTTCACCTAGAAACCAGAGCCAGGTTGCCCTCCAGAGCCAGACCCTCCTTCCAGAAGGAAGTCTCCTCTTTTGGGTCCTAGATTTGCACCCGGGCTGTTCGAATGAGTGCCAGACTGTGTGAAGGAGGAGGGAAGGGCGCAGGGGCGGAGTGTTGCAGAGCTGCCTTTCCAAGTTCACCCTGGATTGAGCCCTGGAAGTTCTACTTGCCCACCTGCCTCCGGCTTCCACTTCCCAACCCACAGCAGGGAAATGTAAGCGAGGGGCAGACTCCTGAAGAGATCTCAGGCTGGGCTCCAAGTGGGGGCGGGGGGGTCAATTCTTGCCAGGGCACCTAGCAACCGCAGCTGCCCCGGGGGCCTCCTGGGCAGGAGACAGGGTAGTCCTGGGCTTCCTGCCTGGCCAGCAGGCCCCCGGGTGTGTGGCTCTGTATTAATCAGTTTTCCTCCCTGGACCTCAGTTTGCTCATTTGTTAAACACCCACTCTCACCTTGCTGGGTTAGAGACAAAACAACAGAAAAATGCATTTGCCTTCAGAGAACTCCATTATCCACCATCCATCATAGAAGCATCATTATCCTTAGCCCGTGGCCTATCACAGCCAAGTCACACCTACCTAATCCCAAGATACTGCAAACCTTGAGCTCCTGGAGCAAGAGTCTCCTGGGGGGTCCCCAGGCCCTGGGGAGGGTGGGAGGAGTGGGTGTGGCCTGGCTTCCCAAGCAGCAGTCCAGTGAGGTTACTGATTCAGCCATCTCCTGTCCTGGCTCTAAGACTCCTACCCCATTCAATGGGTTCCTGAGACCCCTGCCTACTCGAAGTGTCCCCATCAGGGATCAGGACAATCTGGCCTGGACAAAATAGCCAGAATTAATGCCTCCACTCAGGCCAGTACCTCATAGGGACCATGTGCCTCTAAGGTCCCTGACAGCAAAACCCTTCTAGAAACACAAACATACATAAGGGCGTGCCTTCCTTCCTTCGATCACTCAGCAAATACACACTAGCCTCTGCTGCGTGCCTGCCACCATCCGGGCACTGGCGATAGACAGGGAACTAGACAGGGAAAGTCTGGGGTGGGCCTGCACGCACAGCCACCCCGGAGCTGCGGGCTGCACAGGCGCTTGCCCTCACGCACTGCACAGAGACATCTAGCTCATGCCCATGGAGATGGCTCAGACCAAATACCTGTGGATATGCTCACATGGACACCAGCTCCTGCTCTGCAGACCCACATGCAAAAGTCAGGTCAAGCTCACACACACAGGTTCCCAAATCACCGTGTAATCACCTAATGACTGTGGCTGGGTTTGCACACACATGTGAACACACACCAATGACAACAGCTTCATGCACAAAAGGCACAGACCCACATGCCCTTAGGTCACATGTAATACACACAGACACATGTGCACAGACATACATCACACACACACACAGTGCCCAGCTCACTATTGGGAAGAAATCAAGGTAGGAGAGAGGGTGGCTCTTTGAGGGTAGGGGGTGTACAACTGCTGCGTCCTCAATGACAGGGGAAGTCAAGGCCCTTCCCTGACGTTGTAGGCTGGAATCCAGACAGCTTCCTTCTCCTGACTCCCTGCTAAAGGCCTTGCCCATTCTTCCCATTTTCAGGGGCAAGTAGGCAGAACTGGAAGGGAGATTGCTTGATCGCCAGAGCTCTACCCAGTGCGACAAGGCTCGCCAAGCCCTGTACCAGTTGTGGCCCCAGCTCGGCTGGGGGTCACAGAGGTCACTCATCCTGTTTTCTAGCACAATCCTTCCCACTTGGGGCCTCTGTTGGTCCATCTGTAAGATGGGGGCCCTGACAACTCCTTAAGCCAGTCTGAGAATCTGTGAGCCCCTCTTCGCCCAGGCCAGTCCCCCACTCTGGCTGTGGTTCTCAGTGAGGGGGTGGCACTGACCCCAGAGGGCATTAGGAAAATACATGAGGATGGTTTTGTCTGTGGCAATTACTGGGGATCATCACTGCCATTCAGTGTCTGGGGCTAGAAAAACTGAGCTGGGAAAAGTCCCACCCAGGAAGGCTTGCCATGCATCAAACATCTCTGCAGATACTCATGGGGGTGAAAAGCCAGTGTATCCCATCCTAGAACCTAACTCTGGCTTATATGTGTATATATACACGTGCATACAGGTTAAGGACTTGGTACCTTTACTAGGTCCTGGGGTGTGATCATGCTAGAGTATTTATCTATGAAAGCAGAGAGCTTCTTCTTCTCTTAGGGCAGTCTGTCGTTTGGTTTTTTGAAATTAGGTGTGTAGGTAGGCCATTACAGGGAAATGAATGCACCTTTTTTTAAGTGTTCTGAAACAGGCCTCGGAAGTCTGCCGCGGTCCCGGGCGCCCTCCGATGGCCACCACAGGAACTGCACGACAAGGAGAGGGCAGGCTCCAGGACCAGGGACAGCGCCCCGGGCGTCTCTCCTGGGGAGGGTGGGGAATTGCAGGGCGCCAGGAGGTAGCACCCTGCGTTCCTGGCCCTGCACTCGCCGTCCCCGCACTCCTCACTTGTCCCCTTGTGCGGAGGCTGCTTGCAAAGGCTGCCCTCTCCCTTCTCCCTGGCGTGAACTGCCGCGCCTCTCTCGGGCCACAGTGGCACACACCTGCGCACCACAATCATGGCACCTGCGCCGACGCCCACTGTGTCCCTGACGCTCCCGCTCCCCCGGGACGCGTTCGCTCCGTGTGCAGATCACGGAGCCGCG